CAGGGCCAGAGAGAAAGAAAAAAATGTCTCCACCCTACGCAGCTCTCAAGCCTTGTTTAGCCTTTACCCTGTAACTTGTTCACTAGCCTATATTATTCCCACTTTAAAATACAGTAAGCTATGTGTCTAGCTACGCCAACAGCGCCAGACCACTGTGATATCAGAAATAAGTTAACCCTTGTTGTTGGAATGGGTCAGTGGAGTGAGGGGACTGCCCAGAGAGTGGATTATTTTGCCCAACTGCTGCAGTTCTTCCAAACCACCCACACATTACACACAAAATAGCCTCTCCCTGCAGCACACACCGCTCCCTCGCCACCCACAGACACAAATCGGAACAACCGCCCACACAACACAACCAGCACACACAGTCAGCCCAGGCACACATAGCCCCTCACCATAGCACACATCCCTCAGTTCCTACCTGCACAAATTAACACAAATATCCCAGTGCCATACATGGTCGCCCACATCATTGGATTAGGTTTCTTAAAGCCATCTGCTTGGGGTGCAGAGCAGCTAGGAGAGCGACCTGGGCATGCAATCTAGAAACGTACACCCACCACCTCCCTGACTAACATTCCCCAGTGTCACCCTTTGCTGCTAGGGCTAAAGACCTTTAACAGCATTCCTATACAGCGTGAGCCCAGCTGCTCTGCTAACTGACCTACTCTACAGGTGCATCCAAAGGTACCAGTTTCCACCTCAAATCCTCAGCCCTGCTCTAGAGCTATTCACTCTGTCTAACATGAATCATGGAAATCTTGTGGAGATGTTGCCACAGGCAGGCACATTAAGTGCAGGGATTTAACTGGAGTCTCACATTTGTGGGTTTGCCTGAACCTGGACTTTCTATACGTGAAAGAGCAGAACTGGGAGGGCTGCACTCATTCAAACCCCACCTCCACACCGAGGGGGACGCGCACTCCACTCTCCGTTTAGCCCGTCCTTGGTTGTGCAGTGAATAGAGGCCTCTCCAGTGAGCGGGTAACCACTGTCACATTTGTAAGTTACAGATGACCCATAAGAGAAGCCATCCATTATCACTCCAGTGTGCCTTCCATTGGGAATGTCAGGAGGCGGAAGACACAGAATACCTGGAGAGACACAAGATATTTAGAATCAATACTGGTAAAGAAGCAGCTCCAGTTACTTGATCTGCTAAAGAAAACTAGGTGCGCTAGCTATGAAACCACTGGAATGTACTAGCCCAACAGGCGACGGCCCAAGGATGTCTGAGTTGATTGGGCACTAATGTTACATAACTCACCAGACTGACTTACTAAGACAAGGGCTAATTGTCCAGACACATGCACTGATCATCGGAGCCTTAGGCGCATGGGAACCCAGTAACGAGAGAGTGGTGAGATAATGCAGAATTGGTCAATGCTACGCTCGGCTGATGCGGCAACTCATGGTTGGTCGAGGGACATCTACATAGAACACATCACTGGACATCGGCAATAGCAGGAGGGATGAGCTGGAGTGCCGATGAGAAGCGCAGTCAGGAAAGTAACTGAAATACTTTCCTCATGCATTGTATTTTCTAAATGGACAACCAACCTAATTCTCAATTACTGAGGGACAATCTCCACCCATTGATATATTTTGCATTCCACAACCAAATCTCTGTACAACTTTCATAAGTGATGTATTTGTATTCTAATATCTAAACTGGATTGTTAAATCAATTCACCTAAATTTGGGTTATTGCTGATCATATACTCTATGTATCATATGACTTTTTAAAACTAACTTTATATTTGTGGATAATCTAAGCACTATACCCAGATGTACAGACACTTTTTCCAACCTAAGTATTATATAATTTTTTAAAAAGTAGCTTTAATAATATTTTTATGTCTTACTGATGAGTAGACTGGTTTTCTGATTCATGATTGACTAACAACCAAAACTATTCACAGAAGTAAGGGAACTTATCTTACTACTGTTCTCTACCTGTAGTTTGAGACTGCCCTTTCATGGGCTACTTTCACTTCTCAGTCCCAGCAAATCCAAATGTCTCTGAGAAACAGAGGTTGCCTAGTACAGTGGTTCTCAGCCAGGGGCACAGGTACCCCTGGGGTACGCAGAAGTCTTCCAGGGGTAAATAAAGATAAAGATAATGGATTTCAAGAAGGCAGACTTTAGCAAACTCAGGGAGCTGGTAGGTAAGATCCCATGGGAAGTAAGTCTAAGGGGAAAAACAACTGAAGACAGTTGACTGTTTTTCAAAGAGACATTATTAAGGGCACAAGAGCAAACTGTCCCACCGCGTAGGAAAGAGACGAAGTATGGCAAGAGACTACCCTGCCTTAACCAGGAGATCTTCAATGATCTAAAAATCAAAAAAAGAGTCCTACAGAAAGTGGAAACTAGGTCAAATTAC